GTTACTTAATGTGCCCTGTTTTCCTGGGGATGTCAATCTTTCAACCACTTTGAGGTCAGAAAAGAAAGTGGCTGCATGGTGAACATATGCATAAACAACAGCATAAATCCCACATTAGCCAAAGAGAGTCTGGCATGGTTGGTGGTGGTTGCTCACAGGAAATATAGAAATGAAGCCGCAGGTTTACTGGGTGTGGAAGCAAAGAACTAATTAGTCCAGCTCTAGGAATGCCAAAAGCCTATTTAATATCTTTTGCCTTACTAGTCTAAGACACCCAAGGGGAGAATTACTCACAAGCACCTAAATTTATTATATTAAAAAGAAATGTTAGTGCATGGGTAATCTAAGGGATATATCTGCACAGCTTTCTTTTGACCTCTGATAACAGCCATAAAGAAAGGAGTTCACACATTTCAGACAGACACTGAAAGGGCCATGTCTAATCTTTACTGGCTAAATAGTACTGGAGTAGCTGCCGTTGGAGAGAAAATAAAGTCCAAAGACAATGCCATTTTTTTAATTAAAAAAAAATCACTAGCTGCTACTGAAAGGAGGTAGTCAAACCAGCACCTGCAAATTTTGGTATCACTCATTTTTTTTTAGTGCTGAAATTCCATTTCTGAGAGAAAACCATGATGTTCATAGGATGCTTCAGCCTTCCCTTTATCCCCAAACTCATTCTTCTCTTAAATGCTTTTAGCCATGCCAATGCAGAGTGCACATGACACCGACATTTAGGAAGCTATATTTCAAAAATGGGCCTGACAAAAAATGTTGATACTGTGAAAAATATTGCAAGAGGACTTCTAATCTAATAATGAATGCTAATTTAACCACTAAACAGATATCCTCACATTTGGAAATGTAAATGGCCCAAGAGCCAAGAGAAAACTCCTGGCACCTTGTCCTCCACACTGTGGGGATGGGGTCAGGAGTCTGCCCATGAAGCTCCACCCCCACCTCCTTCCTAACTCTCCCAAGGTCTCACCCTGCACCAATACTGAAGGAGGCTTGACAGGACAGAGGGATTCTAGGATGGGAATCTGGGAAACAATAAATGAATTCTAGTCCAATAGCTCATTTTACTGATGCTAACTGAAGCTCACAGATGGAAGTGGTTGCTCCAGGTCATATCTCCCAGGTCTCTCATCATCATCATCATCAAAGCATTTATGAACTTCTTTCTATGTGTAGGGCACTGTGATAAGCACAAGCATACATACAGACTTTCTGTGAAGATATAAAATAAGCCAAACTCTAGCAATTAATAACCAGTGTCAGCATTTCCCTCCCAAGAGCCAATATGTTTCCCAAATAATTATCGGAATGTATTTCCTCTCAAATATTGGATGATACTATGTTAAATTTTGATTGGCTATACAAACACTAAATATTTTTATGAAAAGAGAAAAAATACTCATTTAGTTTGTATATTGTTCTCAGTGTTTGCCATGTTTAGGAAAAATCTATATGATAACATTAGGAAATTTCTCTCTATAGATATAACTTTTTTTTTTTCAGTGATGCCAAGAGCTTTTCATTTCCCAACATTTTAATATTAAAAAATTTAGGTCAGGCATGGTGGCTCAAGCCTATAATCCTAGCACTGTGGGGTGCCATGGTGAAGGAATTATCTGAACCCACAGGTTCTAGAACAGCATGGGCAACTTGGCGAAACTTCATCTCTACAGTAAATAAAAAAATTAGCTGGGTGAAGTAGTGAGTGCCTGTAGTTATGGCTACTAAGAAGGCTGAGGCAGAAGGATCGCTTGAGCACAGCTGGTCAATGCTAGGGTGGCCATGAGAGTGCCCACTGCACTCCAGTCTGGGCAATGAAGTGAGACTCCAACTCAAAAAAAACCCCAAAAACTAAAAATAAACATATGAAAAAGTTGAAAGAATTTTATAATGAACAACAGAGTTCCCAGAACTACATTCTACCATTAACTTTTACTTACTTTACAACATATCTGTCCATCTGCCCATCTTAACTATCCATTCATCAACATATCATATGTTCTTGATGCATTTCAAAGTAGATTCAGACAGTAGATAATTCTATATTTTAAAGAAGTAGAACCAGAGTCTTCTTATTCCTATAAGAATAGCTTGAAAAATTTATTAGATTTTTTAAAAACAAAGAACAAGCTCATCCTGAATTATGCACACAGATTCATAATAGTCTAATCTTCAGGCTCTGTTAAAAAAAAAAAAATATATATATGGTAAGCTATTTCATGGTTTTGTCTACCTATATCAATCCGGTAGACATTGTCAGTACTCATCCAAATGCTTAGCTTTGTGAAGACATAGACTGCTGACTGCAGAGAAATAAACTCTCTGTTACAGATCATCAGGAAAAATTACCTGAAATGTTAGTGATAAGTAATTTTTTTCCTTTGTTTTACATTCTGGTATCCCTCCTCCCCAACTATTCCCTGAGCATAGAAATACAGTACTTTCTATGCTTCACTCTTCTCCTTCATAAAGGGAGTTTTATAATACCTGTCTCACAGTCTTGTCATGAGGATCAAATGTGAAAAATAGAAGAACATTTTATAAAGAGTAAAGCACTACACATAACTAAGATAATATTATCACTAGAAATCATACTGCAGCAGTAAGAAAACACAGCTAGATAATGGTCTACACTACTACCTGACTCATTCAAATCAGTCAAAAAGGATTTCAAAGGTTAAAGGGACAGAATATTGGCAGTTGCCTTCACTCTGCCCGTCAGTAAGTCATCTTGTCAAGGACCTAGAAGAACCTTGGTGTATATCACATAGACTTGTTTTCATTAGTGAAGTGTTTGTTTTGGAAATCATCCCAGTTTTAAAACAATATTTCCATTAGCTAGGCACAGTACCTATAATTATCCATCTTATCTGACCAGTGCCAAACTATTCTATTTATTGTATCCCATTTACCTTGGTGGTGCTGAAAGGAGAAAAGAGACATTCAGTCAATTGTATAAGAAGGTGCAGAGAATGTTTATTTCTTTGAATAAACATCTACAAATGAACTTTGGATAGAAATTCCTGCAATGAGATATCATCAAATACTGTGAATGATGAGTCTGAAGGTGATGGAAACTCTCTGCTTCCATATATGGAAAAATTCTGTTACACGAATATCTAATATTTACAAGGTATAAGTTAGTGTATTTTCCATTTTTTTGAATCTGGTTGAACATAAATCAAGAAAGTGGGGAGCAGTTTCAAAGCCAACTCGGGAAGCAAGAAAAGATAAAATAAGCAGAGAGGCAAGTCACTCATTAATTACTGTTGCTAAGAACTTGCCAGATCTCTGGTGCTTTATTTTATGCTTGCAAGGCATTGAAGACAAAGATAGATTTGAAATCAACCTCACCCTCAAAAAGCACCCATTCTAGTAAGGGTAGAATAGAGACAAAGATCAGGAAACAGAAAGATTCAAAATTGTAAACAGAATAGGATATGAAAAAGAGACAAATAAACTTGATTTATTATTTAAGTACAAATTCTAATCAATCATGAGCATGTTTAGAATGTGGACAGTATCATAGCAATGAGAGGAACTCTAAGAGGATAAGTATAATCACCCTCAAACCCAAAACATGCTTTTCACATAGGAAAGGAAGAATCAGAACAGTTTGGCTTTGTCCATCTAAGACAGAGGGTTCCCCTGGCTCGTAAACTCCATCTGTCTGGTGCTAAAATCAAGAACATAATGACTTACTGAGGTGGTTGCATCAAGCTGTCTGACACTGCTTGACATATCAAACCTACCATTTCCCTAGTTTGGTTCTTTATTCACAGAGTAAACTTTTTTTTTTTTTCATTTGGGAAGACTCTTGTTTATTTCCATAAAACTAATAATAATCATCACAATATCAATAGATTTAAGAAAAATATCAATTTGATTTCATTGAAGGAAACAAATGTAAAATGATATTGGGGAATAATTTGGCTGTAAAAGATAATTTTGGTGATTCTCTTTTTTTTAACTTTTTTATTTTAAAGATGTGGGTACAAGTCAGAATTAGGTATATAAGTGGTCATCGAACAGGTAAAGTTTGGGTCTCCCTTTAGTCCCCACTTTGCCTGGTTTGAGATCAAGTATCCTTATTGATGCTGTATCTCCTCCCACCTCCCACATCCACCCCAGCATTATCCGCTACTGCCAATCCCTTTCTTATAGTATTATGGTAAATGTTCAAGGTCTTCTTATGAGTGAGAACATGTGGTACTCTGTTCTTTGTTTCTGTGACAGATCACTGAGTATTATAGACTCTAAATCCATCCAAGTTGCTGTAAAGTCCCTATGTTTGTCCTTCTTTATGACTGTGTAATATTCCATTGTGTATATGCACCACAGTTTTTTTTATCCAGTCCAGTTTTGATGGGCAGCATGGTTGGTTTCACGGCTTTGCCATTGTGGATAGTGCTGCAGTAAATATGCATGTGCAGGTATCTTTTTTGTAGAATGATTTGAATAGACACTTCTCAAAAGAAGACATACAGGCAGACAACAAACACATAAAAAAGTGCTCAGCCTCACTATTCACCAGAGAAATGCAAATTAAAACCACATTGAGATACCACCTACCTCCAGTAAGAATGACCATCTTTAATAACAAAGGATACTTCTAATCTTATTTAGAATCTGACTTCCTATATTACACATATACTGGAAGAAAGGAAACTGGCCAGAAAGGTCAAGAACATAGTTACCCTGCTAGTGAGATTTCTCATTGGGGTATGTGAACATACATGTGTATATTACACACAAATACATATACATGCAACTGAAGTTTATATGAGAAATACTGGCAAATCTGAATGTACAGCAATACAGATATCTAGATATTTGGATATTTTATATTCTAATACAATTTTTCCATGGTCTAAATTAGTCCCTTCTAAATATTCTTATTATGCTACTTGATAGCATTGTTTATTCCTTCCTTTCAGTCTACAAATTTTGCTTAACTGATGATGACTCCTCATTTATCGTACCTGACTGCCCAGGAGGAGGGGCACCTGATGATCCTTGTGGTAGACAAATAAACACAGTCAGAACAGCAGCTCTGTTCCCAGCACATGGTTCGATGGCGATTGGTTTGGGTGCCCCCTGAAAAAGAAAACCCACTTTAAGATTGCATAATTGACAAGGTACTGCTATTTTTTTTTTTGTTACCTTACCTATTCTTTACTCAGCTAGCCTGTACATTCTTAGTTGTTGGGGACACACCATGTATCATTTTAACACTAACTCCTGCAACGTATAGATGTGCAATTGAACTAACTTGAATACATTAACTAATTTCACTATATTTGGTGAGCAGCTTCTGAGCCACAAAGTTATGCAACTTCTGATCCTTTTTTTCAATTGTTTCCTTTCATCTGTGATGTACTACATAGCATAGCATATCTAATGAAGTGATCACAATTCCAAATATTCTGTTGTCATATCTTTATTTTTTACTTTTGCTTTAAAATTTACTTTTTTACTATCTATATCTAAACCATACAACATGGTGTTTTGATATGCATAGTGAAATGATTATTGCAGTCAATCAGATTCACATATGTATGACGTGACACAGTTACCTATGCTTCTGTGGAAAGAGCACCTAAAATCTACTCTCTTTGCAAATTTTCAGTGTACAATACAATATTATTTAGTCCTCCTGATGTACTTTAGATCTCTAGACTTTTCTATCCTACATAATTGCAAGTATGTACATTTTGACTAACATCTACCTATTTTCTCTCCCTCCCCACTCCTTGGTCCCACCGTTCTACTCTCTGTTTCTATGGATTCAGTTTTTATTTTAAAATTGATGTGTATAAGTGAGAAAATATTGGCACATCTTTTATATAACTTTAGTGAAATACACATTTACTAATCATCCACCAATGCATATGTAAAAATAATATAACTTTAGGAATAAAATAGAGTAAATTAATATATGATAATATATAATATGATAGTAGTAACTAGTATTTTATTAAGTACTACTATGGATTTGGTGTTCAAAGTGCTTTACATATATTAACTTATTTAAACCTCACAACCACCCTGAAAGATGAGAATACTGAAGCAAGAGATTAACAAAGCTCACTCAAATTCATTCAATTAGGAAGAAGTAGCAGGGCTGGCATTTAAGCTTAGGCAGGCTGCCTCCTGAATCCATGTTCTTAACCATGCCATGCAGCTTATAATAGGTATAAATGTGTAAACAAACATGTGCTTCTACACATGCATACACAAACAGGTACAAGCACATGTGTGCACACATAACCTCCTTTCACATACTGGCTCATAAACCCACACATGGAATTTGGGTTTAAATACAATGTGATCTTTGAAACAGTAACATTGTGATTCTATCCTACAGCTTTGGCTATATCATTCAAAGAGACATGGTTGATATATCAAAGCAGCATGTCTGCATAAAGGGAAAATTAAAGAAAAAGTACCACAGCTTTAATTATTAGAACAAATAATTTGTTCAATTTTTCCACTGATATTTAAACTTTTCAGAAGAAATGTAGACATATGTAGTCATTCACATAGAATACTCTAGAAAATTGTCATTTCCAGAAAGTTTAACGAGGTATTAAAGATAAAATATGTCTCCTTTCATGTAAAACTTACACTGAAATTTCTGGTGACAACAGTTTTATGTGGTTATAAAGGATTTCTCCTTTATAGCAACATAAATCTCATGTTTTAAAATTATCCTCATATAGATACATTTTGGGAGTATTCAATATAAAGGTGAAAGTGGCTGTGGTGATAGAAGCAAAGGGCATAAAAATGTTCCAAGAAAATGCTATAAGCCATGTTGCAAGACTTGCACCAAGTTACATGATCTATGGTTTTACACTTTAAAGCTTACATTTAATTTAACAGACTTATTTTTCAAAATGTTAAGTCAAAATCAGTATAAAGTACACAGATATTCTCCAATGATGTAAATATTTAAAGAATAGGCTTGTCATATTCCAAGGCTAAAAGAAAAATACTATGAAATGTTCCAAGTCATATTTCTAGGCTAAAAAAATGCATTTTAATTTAATAAATGCAAACTGTATGTAAAGGTCAATTGGTTAAAATATACTAAAAGAACCTAAAATGAATTTAAGATTTAAATGATAGTGATATATTGGAAAAACAAAATCCCTTTTACTAGACTTAGGAAATAATTGATCATTTCTACCAATAGGCAAGGTTTTCTTTGCTATTTTGTTTTTAAGCTCACAATGCAATAACTGATATTATTCAGAATATCCAAAAAGTACACTTAAAAAACTCGATGGCAAAAATTAGATGAGCAAAATTTTATGATTACCAAAATAAGTTGAAAGACAGTGGTTCTTGGTTTAGGAGATTTAGAAAAACAATAAATGATCCAGTAATAAATCAGTTGATCATTATGCCAGGCAACCTTTCTGCTGTTTTTAACGCAGCGGAAAAGATTTTAAACATCAAATGCTGGTGTTTAAACATCAAAAGCATCAACAGAGAGAAAAATCCATTAGAAATAACTGTAAATTTCAGGTGGAATATGTCCTAATTATTTAACACTTTAAACTTCAGAGACTCAGCAACAGATAAGGACAATGTAGCAGAATATCTTGACCATCGACAAGAAATTAAGCCTCTCTAAATGCTACTTATGTGAAATCTTCCTTCAAAAAATTCTTTCACTCTTAAAATTCTTTCACTCTTCCTTCAAAAAATTCTTTCACTCTGCTAGTGTATAGAAAATATTTTTAAGTTTCTGAATATTGATAAGCTATATAAAAGCAGATTGTAATTCTATTTTAAAATCAAATTGGCTTACAACTTAGTCTATTTTTAGTTAAAATAATTTTCATAAAAGGACATTAGCAAAAATATAAATTATTCATTATGTTTAAAATAATAGCACAGCTCTTTTATACTTCTGGAAGAAATTCACATAATTAAATAAAAATTATTTCCAAAGAGTTTGTGGCAAATATCATTTTCAACACACAATTTCAAATAGAAAAAAAAAGCCACTTTACAGCACTTGAATTTTACAATAGAAAATAGCAAAACCCCACAAATGATAATATTTCTGATACCTTGAGGTTTGTCAGTTGTTTTGTGATAAATACATAACCACGAATCAAAATCATTTCACAATGACATAACATGTTCACTGAGCTGTGCAATTTATCATGCATTTTCCATGGCTGCCTTTGAAATAGATAAGGCATGGGTTTGTTTGCCTACAGCACTCAGCAACTGTGATTTACTTCTAAGCATTTTGGTATTTGTTGTACTGCAAGAAACTGGTGTTAGACTGTGCCAGAAAACATCACTGACAGTTATATAATTAGCAGTCCTTGTGTATTAAGCACACAGCACTTCTACAAAAGACTTGTTTTCTTCACTCTAGTGTTTTATAAAACCATTGTATTCTTATTTTCAAGTTGTTTATTTAGGGACAAAAATATTAAATGCTCTCCATTTTTTAGTTATTAATGACAAAAGTGACCGAAGAGGTTTCTGGAATAGTAACAATTTTCAAGATTATGATTCTTAAAACTCATAATAATAATGATAATATGTTATGAAAGTGAGGCTTCCATCTGAGCCCAGGATCTATCCTGGGAAACTGCTGCTACATGAATAGCTGCATGTTTGGAAAACATCAATGGGTAAAGCTGGCTACTCATCTCTTCCTCCACTGGACCTTGTCTAGAGTAAGTGAGTGAGTGATTCACTTCTAGAAAACACACTGAGGCTCATCACTGGAAAACCTATTCTAGCAGTTGAGGACTTAACAGAATTATTATGACCATTACAATTTAAGTAGGGTTTAGTCTAACACTCAAGGACTCAAAAGGTAAAAAAAGATGTTCTGTCCTTTTTCAAAAACTTTTTCAGTAGTTCTAAAGCACAGCTTGTAAACTCAAATTCCTTCAAGGCTTGGGTGGGTAATTTATAATAGCTAAGGTTTATTAAGTGTTTACAATATGCCTTGTGCTATGCTAAATGCCTGCGTAGTTCAATCCTACTGCGTGAGGCAGGAGTTATTTCTATTTCACAGATGATGAAACTGAAGCTCAAAGAGTTTAAGTAACAAATAAAATTGCAGACCTAATAGGCGGCAAAATCAGGATTTGGACCAATGCAGTCTATCTTCTGAGCTTGTATGCTTAACTTTTATACTACTTATATTAAGAAGACTTACCTTCTAAACTAAAACAATAAAAAGTGGTGGGCACTTGAAAGTATGATTTCTTTAAAGACATTAACTCTTAAAATATTTGCTGATCAATAGAACATGTCTATGGGTCAAAAAGGTTTGAGGGTTGTTGCTTTGTGATTTCTGGGTACTAGGGTCCACAGTGGCAACCCAGGGTTTAATCAGTCAGGCTTTTGTGTCCAGCTACTCCTTTAATCTCATCTTTTACTCTGCACAAGCTCCATGTTTTAGCTAATGTATGTGCTCATTGTTCAACAACTGTGCCCAGGGCTTCCAGAACTGTGCCTTTTCTACTTGCAATTGTCCAGCTCTGTCACTATCTAGCTGTGTGATCTTGGGCATATTACTAAGCCAACTTCCCCAGCTGGAAAATGAATAGGTAGGGTGAATGACTTTTAGGGTCCCTTTCCTCTTTAACATGCTGTGACTATGATTTATGGATAACCTCCAGAATCTGTGACATACTTTGTGTAAGTAGGGTGAAATTTAAAATTTCCAATCCTTAGTAATTTTTTTTCCTGTTCAGTTACTCTAAATGGCTCATCTAATTTTTAAAGAACATTATTATACCATATGATGAATACATCACATAAGACTAAATGACCACCATCGCATGCCAAAAAAGCAATTAGAAAATTGAATCAAGGAATTAAGGATAAATGTGGATATGTTATACCTGTCAGCAGTAATAAGTGTTTTGACAAGAACAGAATAAAGTCTGACAGTATGCACAAATACTAATCTGATATATGAATGAAATATTAAAAATGCAAACAACTGCACATTAATCACTCTAACATTTCCCTACTAAAATACCTTTAATGCTATTCTTATCAGAAATCATCTATAAATAAAAATGAGTCTTTTTCAACAGTTTGCTTGA